AGCTATATATTTTTTAAATTTAGAAAAAGATCCCCAAATATCCATTTATGATCATCATCTCAGAACTGGAATTATAATTTGTGTGGTTAGGTCATTCTACTTCTTAAGACATTATAATTAATTGCACATTATAAGATTAATATGTTGTTAAATTAACTAGAAAGCCAGTATGTCAAGATGATGTAAGTAGACAGGGGTATTCTGACTCATAAGGGCTTGCTTAATAAAACTTTCAGAGTCAAGGTCATGCCATAGTCCCATCACTGGGCCCGGTGGTATTATTATATCCATGTATATATCTATGCTCGGCAATAAGTACGTTCCACAGTATGATTCAACTAATATTTCTTGAGGGCCTATAAAACAGGTTCACTGCAGTAGAAATATTGAGTGTTACTAAAGCAAACAGATAAGCATTCAACACAATTTTATAGTGTCTACTTCAGGGTAGCCACTGTACGAGGTACTGAGGATTCAGAGGGAATCAGAAATTGCTCTTGCCATTATAGCTTACAATTTAGTGGGGGCAGGGAAGACTTACAGGAGGTGGTAACATATGGAGAGCTAGGGTGAGGGTGGTGGGTACTGGAAATCTAGATGGAGGCCCCAGCTTGAGTAGAGGCAAAGAGATAAGAAACAGCATGCTCTGAACTGGAAAATACAAGCAGTAAGGGAAAATGTCAGATTAGACTTGACAGACAGGCAGGCTCCAGCTCTACGTGCCATTTACAGAGCTTAGACTCTACCCTGCAGATGAAGGGAAAACTACAGAACAGTCTTAATCAGGAGAGTGGTGTCTCTACCTAGCAAAAAGGTGGGAATAAATGTGATGGTGATAAGGATGAAGGAAAGAGAATGTTATGTAGTTATGTAGTTAAGTAATAGGTGGTAAATGGAGCCTGAATGAAGGCAGTGGTGCTATGGAGGAAAAGAAGAAATTTTTAGTTGTTAATACTTGCTGAGTGCTTGCGTAGCTGTGAGAAGTATGAGTGGAAAAAAGTAATCAAGAATGAATAATGGGGTAGGTGGAGGTACACTTAACTGAGATGAGAAACAGAAATTGAAGGGCTCCTTTGAGGGTTGGGGTTGGGGTGAGGGTGTGAGGGAGTGTGGGGGATGAGTTTTTTTTTTAAAGATTTATTTATTTATGCATACAAGAACTAGGGTACAGGCCAGAAGTTTGGGGAGGGGGGTGAGAGGATTCACCAGAGACAGAGTGGGGAACAGAAGAGGCAGACTGATTGAAGTACACTGCTGAGAGGAGCAGCGGGTGAGTCAGGAGAGGTCTGCTGCGCCATGTGGGTTGCTCCCTGGCTGGGGATCGAACTCATGCTGCAGAGGCTGCAGATAGCTTCCTAGGTTGCGTCTTTACCCCTTGCGCCACCAGGGAGACCCGATGAGTTATTTTGAATATGTTGAATTTAAGATGATGGTAGGATGTTAGGTGAAGAAGCCCAGAAAAAGATTCTGAGCACAGTTTGGAATAGAGAAACATATTTGGGAGTCATCAGATAATTGAAAACATAAGAGTCAAGGTGAGATCATCTAGGAAGAGAGGGAAATGAAGAAGAGTAGTAAACTGAAAACAAAACCCTGGATATCACTGGTCTTTGAGGGATAAGAGAGGAAGAGAAGCCCAAGAATGACATAGTTAAGGAATAGCCAGCAAAAAAAAAAAAAAAAAAAAAAAGGAGAACCAGGGAAGTGAAGTGGCCAAGGAATTCTTACATTTACTTGGCTGGCAAAGTGTTTTTGTTTTGTTTTTTAAATCAGAATTTGAATAGCTTTGGCATGTACCTTCTATTTCAACTAAGGCCCCATTATTATTCATGCAGCACCATTTTTTTGGGGCCTGTCTCAATTCTGAAGGCCTGCATATTCTGAAGGCCTGCATATTCATGACCCCTGAAGTGGAATGTGCAAAGAAAGAAGAGTCATTATAAATGTCATATGCAGCAAGAGGGCCAGAAAGACAAGGAATGAAAGGTGTCCACTAACTTAGCAAGAGGATGACCTTAAATGAGGCTAGTTCCTCTGTGGCCATGGTGACAGAATCCAGGTTACAGAGGAGTGAAGAGGGAATAGATATGGTGAATGCAGCTACTCTTAAGAAATTTGGAGAAGGGAGGAAGAGAAGCTAAAGGGGAATGTAGCTCTAGGAAGGACTTTTGTTTTATCCTGTTCTACAGAATTAAGAGACTCTGAAAGTGTTTACAGGCTGAGCCTGTAGAAAGGCAGAGGGAGGCAATATTAGAGAAATGTGGCTGCCTGATGAGGCAAGTTCTAGGAGGTGGTTGGAAGAGAAGTGTGTGGAAGATATAAGTGGAGGAGTGAGCTTTGGACAAGTGGAGTGACTCACTGACCTTTGAAGTTGGAGGAAGAAAGCAAGAATTCAGTCCTAATTTAGCCTCAATGCAGTCTTTTCAGCAGGAAAGTGACATGATTAAACTGTGTTTTAAGAAATTAGTTTGGCACAAACACGCAAGATGGATGTGACTGTGGACAAGTGGCAGACCTTGGCAACAATTCAACAGGAGGTGACGGCAACCCAAAGTACAGCGGTATCTACAGTAGAAATGGAGAAAATGAAAATCTAATAGACATTTCAAATGATATGATGACATAATTCTGGACAGAAGGACATAGGTCAATTCAAGGAGAAGGAAAAGTTAAAATGACTCAAAGATTTGAAACAATGCCCTGGAAGATTAGAATGATGGTATCAGGGTCAGAAATGGGGCAACTGGAATGTACATTTCCATACAGGGAGCCAATTTGGGGAGGGAAAATATTGCGTTTAAGGTATATACTGTTTGAGCTGATGGTTCTCTAATTTTAAACTTTGAAAAGAAACAAAGTCCTCCACAAAATAGAAGTGCATAGACAATGGGGAAAAATAAGGGTTGGGAGAGAAAAAGAAATATTTTTAGATACAGGAACTCTAATACTCCCATGCCAGAAAATGATTAAATAGAAGCTGACATTGATGCTATAGGATTTAGGGTTTTAGAATTAGATTAACCATTTCCTAAGATTCTTACTTTACCTGAGATAAGAAAGGTTTTACTACCATTGAAAGACCAGTTTCTCAAATCCAGTAACTTCCTTTAAACATTTAATCTTTTTTCAAAATCTTAGACATTTAACATCAAATGTACTTTCTAGGTGAGAGCATATGTACAATACAAATAAATAATTTTCTAATTCTGTTTCCTTGCTTCTTTTCTGTTTTCTGAATTTTAGAAAATAATGTAGAGGAGGAGTGTTGGAGTCTGAAATTATGCACTGGAATGAAAAACCTTTTTTTTTTTTGTTCAGGCATAGGAAATAATCTGCACGAAAATAACCTTTGGTGCTAGAATAATAATTAGTTTGAATAATAAATTGTCTCCCTAGTGATAAAAGGAATGGAAGTAAAACAGCGCAGTAAGCTGGCATCTTAACATTGTAGGCTATCTGCAAAATTCTTGCACCAAGAAAAATTGTGTTAAAATTGCCTAATAAAAAGCAGGTCTAAAACTCTCCCAAAACTCTCCCACAATTTCAAAACCTTCCTTAGTACATTCATGCAAAGATCACACACAAAAATATTACAATCAATATACTCAACATGTCAAAATTAAAAGCTAATATGAAGGGGAAGGGGGTACATATTTCAGTAACTGATTTCAGATAAAATGCACTCAATTGAAAGTCAAAGGGGCTAGGAGAGCCATTATCAAAATTAGAGGCAGCATGACTTAATAGCAAATAGTCCTGTTTTGAAAATGCAGTAAAAACACCATAGTTAAGAGGATGAACATGACACAATACCGAAACTTCCGAGCATTTAGTCTGAGCACATAAAAAGAGAAAACACTCCATAAAGCTCAGTGAATACTAAAATTTTCTTTTGCTTTGCAACTACTGAGGTCCTTCCACCCTCTATTTTCTCAAATAGGATCAAGATTACAATTTTTAAGAAAAGTCACTCTGGGTAAATTTTCAAGAAATCATCCTCAGCTCCTGAGGGACTAATTTCCACATATATTTAACGTTTGCATATTTAATGTCTGGGCATAGAAAATCTCCAAGAGGTATCTTAAATTATCTCAGGGCTCAAAGGTTTTAGAAACCATCTAGCCCAGAACATTGTAGGCTATCTGCATTTTACATGTGGAGAAATCAAGGCCCAGAAATGGGAAGTAACCTGACCAAGGTCATAGGGCCAGAAAGAAACACAGCTGAGACTAGCATCCAGGCATCCTCACTCCCAATCCATTGCACGTTTTACTTTTCATAGCTTCCTCTCAACCTGAACGTCTAATTGTATGATATTTCAGGAAGGTCAGAGTAAGAAGTGATCAAGGCATTGACAGGATCACTGTATTCATTCATATAAGGATCAGAGAAGAAGAATGGATGGATGAATACGTGGATGGGTGGACATTCTATATTATTCACGAGATATATCATGTTTCTGTTTCGAAGAATCCAAGCCTATGTCTTGTCACATGTCAGAGCAGTCCCCGTGCTCCACTAGACACCGATCTTAGCAGCAAAGAATCCTCCAATACATCCTGCAGTTTAAGGACTATTCGCTTGTGAGCACACAACAGAAGGAGACTCACCCCTATTCCAATGCCGTGAGCTCCCAAACCCCTAACTTCCTTGTCCTAAACTCACTCTTTATCAGGCGTTGGTGCATCACATTTGCATTCTCCTTACTTCCTTTACACCTATCTCCTCGGATTTCTCTATCAAGACCAGGTGTCCTCTCTTAATTGTAGGTTTTGGCTTCATTCAATTAATACCACAGCAGTTACGAATACCACTGCACACTCCTTGAGGGCAGAATTTTGAAGCTGGGAGGGACAGCACACCTGGCACGAGGGCCCGAGCACCGGCAAGTGGAGAGAGGAGAAGTCAGCCCTCCCCCACTCCGCAGGCCCCCTCGATCGCTTTCTCATCCCTCTGCGGTCAAATCTGCCTTTGGGAAGCCCACAGCCCCTTTCACTTACACAGTGATGTGGCCGGCCCCCCGCACTAATACGGGGTCCGGGGCGTATCTCCGCAGATGCTCCTCGCTCACTACCCGAGGCGGGGGCGGCGTCTCCTCTTCCTCCTCTTCCTCCTCTTCCTCCTCTTCCTCCTCTTCCTCCTCATCTTCCTCGTCATCGTCAGGCCCAGACACCGACGACGACGACGACGACGGCGACGACGACGACGTTGCCGCTTCTTCCTCCTCCTCCTCCAGTTCCGAGATGGTGTCGAACTCCGCCATGTTGGGCAGCAGTATGCTCATCACGTGACCTCTCGTTCGCCGCCACCCGCAAGGAGTAGAGTTCGAACTTGCTGAGGTGCTGGAAGCTGAGGGGACACGCGATAAAGAGAAAGAGGAGTCGGGTAGGGACAGGATTAGAGGAGACGCGCCTGCGTGTTGGGGCGGACGGGGGAGGGGTGCCGGGGGACGGCTGGAGGCGGGAGCGGGAGGGCGACGCGCAAAGTCTGTGTACGCTTGCGCGGCTGGGGGAAGGGGCGGCGGAGGTGAGCTCCAGGGAATTGCCGAGGTCTGGTCCCGGGGTGCTGAACCGGAGGCTGCTCTTCGGGATTCTGCTGCTAGTATTGGGAGACGGGTCTCGTTTTTCCTTTTCACCAGTACTGGGTATGAGTACTCCCCTCCAGTACCAGGAAAGCAGATGCTGCGAAAGTGAGGTGAGAACGTTGCCCCAGACATCTCCAAGGCATATACCAAGCCCTCACATTTGTTCAGCTTTACAGTTTGAACAGTTTCGCATCATGGCTGTGCCACAACCCTGGGAGGCAGGGTAAGCATTTTAATCGACGTTTTACTGGAGAGAAAAGTTTCTCTTACTACTTCTACGTAATACTTGCAAAAGACTTACTAGGTGTCGGGGACTGAGCTGAGCCCTCTACGTGCATATCTCATTTAATACTTAAAACCCAGAAGGGGGAAGGGGTCAAAAATTGAGGAGGGGATGCACAAGGGACTGTGGTGCTGGATCTCTTCTCGCTGCTGCTGTGGTGGTGGGCGAAGTACCCGAACTACACCTGCGGGGAGAAATAAATGCTGTCCAAATATTAGAAATAATGTAAGAAAAAAAGTACTTAAACACAAAGCCCTATAAGCTTATGTACCATGATGATCTCTTTTCACAGATGGGAAACCTAGAAGCGGAGAGGATAAGTCACTTGTTCAAGGTCATGGAGCTACTACATAGCAGGCTTCCTTTTAAACTTGGGCGTCTGTTCTGATTCCCAAAGATCGGTGCTGTTAACCAAAGGGCCATACTGCCTGAAGTTGTTTCAAAAGGTGATTTGCAGAGTGGTGCCATTTGGGCTGTTTCTTGAAAGATGATGTTTGAATTTTGGAGGTTTGTGTTTTTTTAGGAAGGGAGAATAGACGAGCCAGAGGGAACATTCCAATCTAAGGAAATAGAAAAAATCATTCATTTTCTTTACACTGAACTAGACTATTTCACATACAGTATCTCATTAGCCTTAAACAATTCTGTGAGGGAAGCGCCATCATATCTAAAACAGTCTCAGGAAGTTTAAGTAATTTATTAAGATTTGTACTGACCTTTTGTCCAAAATGTTCTATTTCAAATATTCTATCCTGTCTGCTCCACACCCACCAAAAATGTTGTACAGTTTACATATTTTGAGTTTCCAAACCATGGCTCAAACTCTTTCACATTTGGCAGTGGCACAAAATTCCATGTCTTCATTCAGAGATCATTGAGACCGTAAAGTTCCACAACTGCTAAGTAGTAAAACTCCATAATCCATAATTCTAACATCAGCTTGACTGCTCTTTCTGCTCTATGACAGCCATGTCCCAATTAGATGGTGAGATTGGGGAAACAGGTAGCCACACTTTAATTAGGATCAGTATTACATTAGCAATATAGCAGTATAAACAAAGCATTTAGTGTCTGTGAGGGAGGAAGAAATTAGTTCTTTAAGAGGCACTGATCAACCCATCATAATTATCAAGGAGCTTGTGTTATTAAGGTGAAAAAAATTCTTTTGTAGTACTCAACAACTTGAGTATTTAGGAATTTTTAAAATAAACTAACACAATAAGCAACAAAATCTACTTTTTTATCATAGAGAGAATCTTATCTACCAGAGAGAAGTTATAATGAAAGGTGGAACCTTAAAATAATTTATAATAGCCTCTTGCTAGAAATACAGACTATATCTGCTTTTCTTAGCTATTTTTTTAAAAAAAGATTTATTTATTTATACAAGAACTGGGGTACAGGCCAGAGGAGTGGGAAGGCGAGAGAATTCACCAGAGACAGAGCAGGGTACAGAACAGACATAGAACTGAAAACACTGCTGAGGGGAGCAGCGGGTGAGACAGGAGAGGTCTGCAGCACTATGTGGGTTTCTCCCTGGCCAGCACTCGAACCCGCACTGCAGAGGCTGCGGACAGCTTCACAGTGCTGTGCTCAACCCGCTGGGCCACCAGGGATGCCCCTTTACTTAGCTGTTAATAAACAATGTGTCAAAAACATTTATGGGAGTGAAATACCTTAGACTTAGGGTCAAATCAGTATTCTGCACCCATTCTTCTTTTTCAAAAAGAAGAAAGTCATAGATAATACTGAAAAATTTCCAAACATATTATCCATTAATGTCCACTAAGCCATTGTTTAGAGGAAAGTATTTTGCTGATTATTGCTTAAATGGTAGTTTCTCCTTTTCATCACTCAGGATTAGGCCAAAAAGGAGCATTTGCAGGCGATAAAGGGAAAGGAGTATAAAGGATCGACTTTAGGACAAGTGCAAAGTGAAACACTGAAACTATGATAAAAGTGAAAAAATGATGGCTATGGGGTAGAAGGAGAGGAAAGGGGAGATTCCACTTGTCAAAAATGTAAAGAATTCCCTGGCATTTAGTCAGATGTCAAAAGGACAAAGCAGTTCAGGGAACTGGTATGCTTAGAGAAACTCACAAATATAGTCAAATCATTCATCTGTTTTTCTGCATATACATTGTGCTGAAAAGGCATATATTTCAAAGGTAATTTATTTTGTTAAACCATAGGAGAATTTGGATTAAGCTAGAATTTGGACTAATTCATATAACATGTCCTTGTGTGAATATATGTTTTAATTTCTCTACCATGAGTAGAACTGCTGGGTCATATATTAAGACTATCTTGAAATTAAGAAACTCCCAAACCGTTTTCCAAAATATTTCAATCAGTTTACACTCCCACCAGCAATGTGTGAATGTTCCATTTTCTCCACATCCTTTCTAATATCTGTTATTCCTTGTCTTTTTGACTCTAGCTATTCTTGTGGGTATGACATGCTATCACATTATAGTTTTGCTTTGCATCTCCCTAATGATTCATGATGTTGAGCATCTTGTCATGTGCTTATTGTCCACTTGTATACTATCTTTGATGAAATTTTTTTTATTCTTCTTTTAAAAATTAAGTTTTTTTCCCCAAGATAATTGTAGACTCCTATATAGTTGTAAAAATAACACAAAGATGTCCTGTTCATCGTTAATTCAGTATCCCCCAATGGTTACATTTTGCATACTGTTGTACACTATCACAACCAGGAAATTGACATTGATACAACCCACACATCTTGCTCATATTTCCAGTCATGTATGTACTTGTTTGTGTGTGTGCACGTGCATTTAGTTCTATGCTATTTTATCACATGTGTAGGTTCATATAACCCTCACCACACTCAGCACACAGTTACATCACCTCAAGCATACCTGCTGTTATGATTTTATAGCCATCCTCCCACACCCCACAACCATTAAACTTTTTAATATCTATAATTGTAATTTCCAGAATGCTATGTAAATTGCATCATATAGTGTGTAACCTTTGGAGATTGGCTGGCCTGCCTCCTTCCCCCCACCTTTCTCTAGAAAAATGGCATTTATTCTGAGCTTGCAAGGCAGTTAATTACTGTCACTTGCCTTTTGGTAGAGACCCAAAGGCAAGTAGAGCATGAGGAATTGTAGAAATTTTCACATCTGTTAACGTGGATAAGAAACTGAAATTTCCATATTTGAAGCTGTCAGATGGCTTTTGTTTGTGTTTATATATTTTTTTATTGAGGTAACATTGGTTTATACTACGTATGTAAATTAAGGGTATAACTTGACACCCCTTCAGATTTCTGTTATCACACCACACCCTAGACCAAAGCTCCCATGAGCCTCTGCAACAGTTCATTGGGCTCCTTTTCCCTTATGCTCCTCCTTTCATAGCCTCAATTCTGTAGTTGGATATCCAGGGTTCCTTTAAGTTTATCTAGGGTAAGTTTAGTTTTGTCTGTTCCTTTGTTTTGTTTATTTATATTCCACATGTTAGTGAATTCATCTGGTGTTTTTCTTTCATCTTCTGACTTATTTCATGTGTCACACTCTCCTACAGTTCTATTCATGTTGTCACAAATGGCGAGATTTCACCTCTTTTTTCTTATTTTTTAAAAAAAATATTTTATATATGTCTTACATCATTTTTCATTTTTGCACAATGTATGCATACATTGTCCCCATACAACTGCACTGTTTACAATAGTCCCCATACAACTGCACTGTTTACAATAGCTAAGCTTTGGAAACAACCCAAATGTCCAAAAATAGATGACTGGATCAAGAAGATGTGGTACATATACACTGTGGAATATTACTCAGCAATCAAAAAGATAAACTCATGCAATTTGCAGCAACATGGATGGACCTGGAAGATTTCATCTCTTTTCATAGCTAAGTAGTATTCCATTGTGTGTATGTACCGCTATCTCCTTAATCCACTCATATGTTCTTAGACACTTAGAGTGTTTCTGTAGCAGATAATTATGAGGTTAAGAGGGGGAGGGAAAAAGAGCCAAGGGGGTATAAGGGATGGTGAAGGCATTTAAAAATGCAGTGGAGGACCTCCCCTGTGGCGCAGCGGTTGAGCGCTGGGTTGCGAAGCTGCCTGCAGCCTCTGCAGCGCCGGTTCGATCCCCGGCTGCTCCCCGGCCACTGGAGGAGGGTCCCGCATGGCGCACAGACCTCTCCTGCCGCCCGCTGCTCCCCTCAGCAGTGTACTTCGTTCGGTCCTTCTGCCTGCTCTGCTCCCCGCTGTGGCTCTGGTGAATTCTCTCACCCTCCCTCGCTTCTGACTATGCCCAGTGCTTGTATAAATAAATAAATAAATAAATAAATAAATCTTTAAAAAAAATAAAAAATAATAATGCAGTGGAGATAAGCAAACTACCCGAGGAAGAATTCAAAGTAATGGTTAAAAAGATGCTCAGAGATCTTGGGAGAAGAATGTAGGAACTGGAAAATTAAGGAACATTTAAACAGAATTTGCAGAGATGACAAACAGTAACAATTAAAAAATATGATAGAGGGGTCCAATGAGAGACTGGATAAATCAGAGGAATGAATAAGTGAGTTGAA